GAAATAAACTTTCTGGAGTTTCACATTGTTGCTACACATTCAAATGCAGTTTTTTTTCAAGTTTGTAACCGTTTTTTAAATGCTTTGTGTTATCGATTATTTTCGGCTCCAATTCATCGAGTCATTTTGGTGCAATACTTCGCAGGACTGGTAGTTTCACGAGGGTTGCTCCATAGCTTCACAATGCTAAGAGTTCCGCTTCTTGGCCGTTTCATTTATGGCATTCAGCAGAACCGAGAAAAAAAGATCTTGAGCTAAAATGATGAGGATTTGCGCTTAAGCCTAGGATAGATCTCCTGTGACTCTCTAGACTGTCTTTAGCAAAATAGAAGGATTTGAAGCGTTTTTTAAAACATGAGCCTTGACGCTGCCTGCCTCAAGAGGGATTAATTGCTCACCGGCGCCACTTCAGTCTGCTCGTGTGCTGCGTCTCAACTGAACAGCCTGACATAGCTTTGGGCGTCAGAGCATGCTGGGCTTCTATCGAAAGTTACCCCTCTCAAGGCGTTGCAATATTCCGCCTCCCCATTGTATTGGACTAGTGTCGTATTTCGGAGAAGGTTTTGGTATGCTTGTGATTCGTCCATGCTTTTTGATTTGGCAGCACCCCAGCTGGTTGAGAACGACACGCTCTGTGCAGGTATCATAAGGCTGCGTTCATACTTAGCGGTAGCGTCCACCAGCGACCACTTTCGTGCGTCCATCAGCGTCAGCAACTATAAAAGTAGCGATCTAGCGGACGGCTGCGTTTACCAGCGTCCATCAGTGTCACCGGCGTCTAGTAGCCAAGGATTAGAGAGTATGGGGAAGCAGGAGGGAGGAGACAGCAGGATTGAGCGTGACATTGTGGCGTGTGCAACCGCTCCGTGCTACTACGCAAGTACACCTGGAGTAGTCGCTGGTGGACGCTGGTGAACCCCTCATCGATATCCATACTTTCCCAGTCCCTTGAGAGTTGGTGGCCACTGGTAGACACGCTAAATCGATGTCCACACTTCTGTAGTCCTTTGAGACGGTGATGGTCAATGGTGAACGGTGGTGGCCGCTGGTGGACGCTGCCGCGAAGTATAACTGCAGCCTAACTTGCTCTGTTAGAGATGACTCCATACGGAGCCTTGGAATTTTTGCAGAGCTCGTTCTTTTTCGGCCTCCTATCATTTATTGATAGGAATCAGTCAATAGAAACGCAAATCACTAATATGGAGTACGTTAAAGTGAGTTTTCGGAGAAGTTATAGTGCTTCACAAGTTCAGTGGGCGGTTCACACTGAGTACGTCTGCTCTGTGCACCCCTTAAAGAGGGCGGGTCTAGGTCTCCATTCACTTAAAGGCAGTTGGCACGATGGTTTCCTACTTAGCCTAAAATGCTAGTAGGGCGCTGTATAGTGGGGAAATGGCGAAAGAACGGAGTGAAACGGTCAATCCTGCGAAGAAAAAGCCTCCGTTCTCAGTGACTTGTAAATCGATTTCGGACGAGTTTCCCGTAGGCATCTTACCAATCACCGCTACCGAAGATACGGCTGCATATGTGTACCCATGTATGCATGCAGCATCACGGCCGCTTCATACCAATCCCTTCGCTTCATAATTTGCTTAGCAAATGAAAGGAACGGTCGTCCATTTGTGGGCGGGCGGGCGTGGCGGGCGTTTGGGACGTAACTATGCAGCGCCTGCCCAGGGTCGCGGAATTCTATCCTGCCAGGAGTATTGATCCTAGTCGTCTTGGGGATTTATCGTGCCAACTGCCTTTAAAAGTGCCTAACGGAGTGAAACATCAATCAGTGAAAGGACTGAAGTGGTTCTAAGGGTATACGACGGCTCGACTCATCGTCTCCTCTTACTTTGATATCGTACCCTCACCGGGATCAGCTTTAGCAGTGCGCAGATGTGCTGCTTGTAGGTGTCCTCGTCTCGGGGCGCAGGTAGGGAGACAGTTACGACTGCTTCCCCCCCCCCTACTCACTCCGACCTTTTTAAGGCTGCGTTCATGCTTGGTGGCAGCATCTACCACCGTCCACCAATGGACTAGGTATAGATATCGATCTAGCGTCTACTAGCGCCACCAGCGGCCACCAGCGACCAGGAGTGCGACATTGTGTGGCAATACGGTGCGGCTGCACGCGCCACGATTTCACAATGCTTGATCCAGGTGTCTCCTCCCTCCTACTTCCCCGTACTCTGCCAGCAGTCTGCTACCCTCCTACTTCCTCATATTTTCTAGCCTCGGTCGCTGTTGGACGCTGGTAGACGCTAGATCGATCGATATCCCTACTTTCCTAGCCTCTCGAGACGCTAGTACACGCTGCTAGACGCTATATCGATATCATAATTTCTAATCTCTTGAGACGCTGATGGTCGCTGGCGGACCTGCTGCAAAGTGTGAACGCAGCCTTACGACTGAGCGCACAGCTGGGCAGCGTGCTTGGGGTCATATGTCGATGTTGGTCTTTTCGCTGCAGCGTTGCTTCACGACTTGTGCTCCTTACTTAGCATAAGCTGCAATCTGACCCCTTTGCAGCTGATCGTCTTATCACTCTATGGGAACTTGGAAACAACAAAACAAGCCATTGAATACTCGTTGTGGGAACTGGGAGCATATGAATATAGTGGCAAATACAATCAAGAATTTTACAAAAACAACACATTGGTAGAATTCCTTGTAAGTCAATCATCGATATATTGTCCTTTGCTAAATTTTTTGAAGCCGATATATTTATGCAGTCGTATGAGAATACAGCAGGGCTCACCAGTTGGATCACTAGGCTACGTTCATACTTCGTGGCTGTCGAATCGCGCGAGCGATTGCAGCCTGTTGGACTGCTACATGTGCTAATCCATTCGCATACAAGGTAGAACTCCTTCAGCCAGTGCAGCGCTCCAACGATAGCGGTAGAGACGTTCGATCATCGTCGGCTACTGAATCGCTCGAGCAGCGAAGTAGAACGCTGTCTTAGGCATTGTTCTGCTAATCATTTGAGAGCAGGGCATAAAACGTCATAATATCAATTGAACTTCTCAATGAACCTGGAGTTTTTGGCTCATTAGGAAGTGGGGCCAAGAAACCATTGGCGCGCCCTTTCTAAGTCGCTGTCAGTGGCGGAAAGAAGGCTGAAAGAAGAGGGGTGCAACAGCGGTGGGTTCGCCAACCCGGCTATTCCGAATGGTGTCTTTCAATTGGTCGAAGATACTCTCGAAATTATTCCTATCTAGTCCCCTTGCTCACCGACGAATCTTTTACATAAATACAGCGCAGTTACCTCCACCATTTCATAATCTCTGCCGTTTCAACCCAGGTTTTCGGCAATGAAATACTCAATATGGAAATCAACAAGGCGAACACCAAGCTTTCCCCGTATTTCGGTGGAGGTAACTTTTTGAGCCATCATTTTTCTACTTTTTTTCCTTTGGCGCAATTCGGCTTGGAGGGGGTAATGGCATTGAGCCCATTCGCTGCTCCGCCTTGTCACGTCGAACCACCAAGTAATTAGTGAAACCCCGTGAAGCCGTGAAGTCACTCAAAGTTCGCAGGAATTACTTGTCAACTCATGTGAAGAAAATCTATTAACTCTTGAAGAGCAATGAAGAGGGAGGTAGCGAGTGCAACCCGTTCCCCCTCCCCCCACCAAGCCAAATGCACCAATTTTAAGTTCCTGGTTGAAATTAAAATTACAAATTTAATAATTTTAATTTAAATCAAATTTTAATTTGAATTCAAGAAAAATTTGGAAAATTAAATATTTGTTACCAGCCAGACTTCAGGTATGTAAGATAGTCAGCAAAAGCCGTAAGCCGTTAGCCTGCATTTTATCAGTATAGTCCTCATCATTGCGGACTGTCGGGGCGTCTGAGCCGCACTGCACTGTGACGCGACAGCGGCTGCGGCTCGGTGACCGCAAATCAGCTGGCGTTCCATGGAATTCGGCTGCGAACTTCCCACTTTTTTTCAAGCTTCAAAGCTTCGGAATAGTGGAAGGTTGAAATTATTCTGAAATCAAATTTTTAATGTACTAGGCTCTTGAATGATACTTGAAAGGAATGCAAGCCATTTGAATAAATCGCACCTGAAATAAAGCGCAAAATAGCAAGGAAGAGAGCATAACAATAGACAGAAAAATGAAGGAAATTAGAACCAGTACAATATAAAACTGTTCGAAATAACTCACCTTCCACATTTGAAGCTTGAAGAGCTGAAAAAGTGGGAATTCGCAGCTGAATTCCATCGAATTAGGTGGATCCGCCGCCACAGAGCCGCGGCCTGTGTACAAAACCACGTGCGGTATGACGACGCGCGGTTTCTTACCGGCAGACCACGGCAGCCGGCGGGCGAAGGTTGATACGCTAGGCGCCTCTCCGCCACTATGCTCGAATGCACAAGCCCCTTTTAATTCCCTAACTTATGTGCAGGAGAGGCAGCGAGGAGGACGAGAGGCCACGCAAAGAGGGAATCGAACTAAATAGTAGAACGCCTCAGAGGTGAGTTAGTCGTAATAGCAGACAATAACAGATAAAGTTCTGAGAATCCCAGATCGTTTTAATCTTCCTAGTCTCAGCGGAACTGACCAGAATGATTCCTTATGAATGGAAACGTGACGTTATAGCGTTATGAGGTCATCAATTCACTACTAGCATTTGCCAAACTCAGACACTTTCAGTTTGTAAAGACTGACTTGCGTCGTTTGTCCACAAATCAAAGTGAACTATGCCGTCAGTTCTGCCATTCACTGAAGTAATTCGTGATATCCGATTTCCTACCACTAACTCACATATGCACCCACTATCTGTTCAATTCCCTTCCTCTCTCTACTTTTCCCTCCTCTTCTCCCCACATAAAAGAGGCTGCTGGATGGCAGCACAGCGCCGGGGGCATCGCCTTTCGCTCCGCTCTGCCGCCGCGCCGTGAAGAAACCGCGCCGCATACGCGATGGGTGAGTTTTTCCCTCCTCCCCAGAGCCGCAGCCGCTGGTTTGTTTTTTTTGCCGCGTCACAGTGTCAGCGCGGCTCAGCCGCTCGGACAGTCAGCATTGGTGAGGACTGTACTTCGTTGAGAATCCATCAGATCGGATCAGCATTTCATTGAAATAAACTTAGAGGATAGCAAACTTTTATTTTGCAATATCACTACAAGGACGAAGATGAAACTGAAATGATCTTCACTATCTTTTCGTAGACAACACAGACTCGCGATCTCTGATCATCTTGCTTTCCGTGGAAAATCGTGCAGTGTGGAAGATGAAGTAGAATAGTAGAACAGCTACAGTAATACAAATCGCGCGCATTCGATTGTGCATACGATTCATTGTGGGAACACTGGAAACTTCTTATAAAAAGGACTATATAGGACTGCAAACATCACACATACAGTCATGATCCCGGGAGGGCATCGTTCAAACTTGGCTAACGCGCGTCGACGCGCTGCCACTGCAGCAGCGCTCCGGAACTAGAGACGCAAGCGCCCGGCGCCGCGACCGATTCCCGTCGGTGAACGCAGCCGCAGACGGGAATCGATCGGCACTGGCCGTCTGCGGCTGCGCGCTGCTGCAGTTGTAACGTCGTCGCGCGTTACAGCACGTCAACGCCCGTCATCGCGAAGTCTGAACGTTGCTCACACGACAGGGTGTGTGGCAAAGGCATGGCTTAAACCGCAGCCAAAGCAGATTTCCCAACAGTTGTAGCGGGCTGGCGGTGGCATCATTGGTGGACTTAAAGACGGCTTGGCTGCGCTCGAATTGCCGCCGCGTCACATGCCCTATCGCTTGCAGGGATCATGACTGTACAAGACTAACTCAGTCTTTACAATGACATCGGAACCGTCTAGTGGTCAATTCACCTACGTCCCAGACTTGCATAGCCCGGAAAGGTGAACTATTCTTGATGCAATAGAAAACTTACGCGACGTATTCTGGAATATCCTTCTGACTTTTGTACAATTGTGTGACCACCAAGAATCTCCTCTGCCATTGTGTTGGCTTGATACCGGTTTCTTAAGCGCCATCATTGGAAAAGCATTTTCCTGGTGCTTCCACTGAAAACCTACCCTCACTCGCGCTGTGCAGTCTCCCGGACCTCACTTGTTTATCGTACTCTGGTATAGAAGCATGGCGACTTCCGTCACTAGCAGTCGTTTCAGGTGGTGTCTGAAAAAAATCGTATTCCATCGGGGTGCGGAAGGAATTTAAGTATTACCTAGGCGTGGTGTGCACTCGAATCCGTGTAACAAACAAGAGATTATAGGTCTTAAAGACACGGTGGTTGGTAAGGTGACAAATGTGGCGCTCATAATATCAACCTAAGGTGCAAAGTGGCTCCTATGTGAAGGAAACACCAGGAAAAACAGTCAAGGATGCCCACCCCCCCCTTTTTTTTTACCCCGCGCCTCTTGAATCGGGCAAGTTTTCCTGCATCGGGACGAGTTTTCGAATCAGCTGACATTCTCCAGCACTTAAAAGACTTACCTTTCTTTTTTCCTTCCACTGTAGTAGCCCGGTATCAGCGTAATGAATCATGGCACAAACGGTGTTGTCCCGCGCAGTGGCCGCAGTCAACAGAAGAGGCGCGAAATTTTAACCGCATCAGAAATCGTTTATTTGGAGGGGTATTTGAAGCAACCCAGAATAATACTGGACGACAGCTGTTCCGAACAATAACAATAAACCCGTGAAAAGTACCCTAAGCCGTGCTCAAATGGAGTACCCGGCCACAGCCCATCTTCGAGATATGGAGTGTGTGTTGTGTGGCGCCATCCCACTATCGTTGACGTTGCCTGTCACATGATGTGACACGTCTTCCAGGTAGAGCAGCTCGTCCGAATCGCTTATTTTCTAAATGCTACTCGTCAGGATTCGCTCTGATTTGGAAAGTTTCCCGGTCGTGGGCTCTATCTCACCACGTCAGTGACGGGCGAACGAACTCCCTTCGACTCTCAAATTCAAAGGACCAGGCAGTACAACTCGTCCACTGGGCGCAGCGTCGCTCGCCACGCCCACCAGTGCGGGGTATATTACGATTGTGCATACCACCGAATATCACTGTGGTACTCCCTGCTTGAGCGGAAAGACAGCGCTGGCTGCGGAATGGCGATCCTACTTCCCTTCCCTGGGTTATATTTCGTCAATCTTCCGAGTTACAGTATAGTTTTTCAATGTATGCCCTGTAGATTTTTCTCTGTATGTCTTGTAAATATCTAAGAAAAGTGGATGTAAGGGATAGTGTGGAGTACACTGACAACATGCAAAATGAAAGAAATACGGAACTAATAACTTGGAGGGAGGAGGGTACATCTATAACTTTCGTCTTTTACAATTTTGTGTCACCCTTTAGGTCTTGTAAATTCCTGTCAAGTACCATGTGAACTACTGTCAAGCTCGCGATAGGCTATTAGCGTCACTGGACCGCCATTTCTCCAAGTTACCCTAATCTCGACAGCCATTTTGACAGGAGTTCAGAGGATGCTTGACAGGTGAGAACAAGGCTTATTGGTTGTTGACAAGGTTGTCCAGTATTCACATGTGTACAGTTTATAGAAATTGGTGTGCTAACAAGTCGCTTACAGCTGTGGCACCCTTCCCCCCTAAGTAATAAGCGTGGAAAATAGTTCAAAGAGCTTACCTTTATAGTGGACTTGTAAGCATCGGACACCTTGTCAGAAAACATCCTCCTTGGAGTTCTGGATAAAGCTGTTCGACGAGAAATGATTGGAATAAGTGATGAACATCCAGCAAGCGAAAACATCCTAGAATTTGCAAAGTCCAAAACATTAAAAAATATAGGCGCGAGTTAATGGCAAAGGGCACGATGGTTGGGGGGGGCGGTTACTGCCAACGTCATTGGTGAAAGGGCTGAGGGCGTGTGGCCAAGCGCTCTCTCGCAGCACTTCCACCGATGACGCTGGCAGTAGCCGTCCATCCTTCGCCATCGTGCACACTTTCCAAGCAGTTTTGTTAGATACAAACGAAGTTAGGAGGAGGATGCTGCTCCATTTAGGAGGGTTTGTGAGCATTTACGACTTTACCCTCCAAAAGTTATTGGAGGCCTGAACCTCCGATTTTTTTTTGTTCGGAGTCTAGTGCAGCTCCAAAAAACAACGGGGTATTGGACGTGAAATGGAAAACAGATTTACATATGAATAACAAGAAGAGTCAAACACGGCGAAAATAGTCAACAACTAAGTGACGAGTAAACAACTGCTGGACTTTGTGCTAGTAAATCCCAAGTCATTAGAAAGGTAATGTTGACCGTAGCCCACACACAATTAGGATTAACGCTAGCGTAGTTCATGGGATCGTAAGAATGGTTTTCTTCATAGCAGCTGTGGACTTGATCCCTAGCAGCTGAGGTGTCACCCGGTGAGACCCCCAAACGGATGGCTGAGCCTGCAGTTACGATCGATGAGCGCTGCATCTCTCACCCATGCGTCATTGTTTTGGTGGTGGCAGTTGGTAAACAACAACAGAGTCCTACATCAGAGATCCTTGAGATCCCTACTAGTAAAGAAATAGTTGCTTTGGCGCTAAGTACAGTTCGGGGAATGGGGGGGGGGAACACGCGGCTATTGGCTTACTTGCCAGTGACGATAAAAGCGCGAGAATCTGTTGAAGGCGCAACATATTGGGTTGTCCGGGAAGCTCTCAGCTTTTGTGTTACTATTTTTTGTGCTGATTGAAAACTCATTCTCCCTTGCGTCTCAGTAGTACATCCTGAAGAGAATTTTTTGCGCTATCTGATGGTATAATTGCCGTTGCTTGATAAACCCCCTTTTCCCAAGACTTTTTGAAGCATGTCAAAAGAGCAACTTCGGACGATATTTCTTCGACTAAAAATTGGGTCAATCCGCAATCGAGACAGCTCAACAAATTAACCAGTGTGGGGGCCCAATAGTGTTGGAGAAAGCACCGTGCGACAATGGTTCGATCAGCCTTGAACATGAACCTCGTAGCGGTCGACTAGCAATACCTGACGAGGATTTGAAGGCGTTTGTGGAGGCTGACCCATCCCAAACAGTTCGAGAGATTGCAGAAAAGCTAGGCGTTGGCAAATCCAGTTGCGGATGGTCTGAAACGCATTGGGAAGGTGAAAAACTCGACAAGTGGGTGCCCCACAATTTGAGTGACCGGCAGAAATTGGCACGTCTCGAGGTTTCTTCTTCACTGCTTTTGCGCAACAGAAACGACCCGCTTTTGGACCGAATTGTCACGTGTGATGAAAAGGAGATCATGTATGATAACAGGAGACGTTTCGGACAGTGGTTGGATGCCGGCGGACCCCTGAGGCAATTTCCAAAGCCGAATCCTCACGACAAAAAGGTTATGGTCACAGTGTGGTGGTCATCGGCTGGTGTGATCCACTATAACTTTTTGTCACCAGGCCAAACCATCACAGCAGAGTCCTACTGTGAAGAAATCGACGAAATGTACCGAAAATTGCGTCAGCTGCAGCCAGCACTTGTCAACAGAAAGGGTCCGATTCTTTTGCATGACAACGCCCGCCCACACGTTTCACAAATCACTATCCATAAATTGAACGAATTGGGGGTTGAAGTTCTACCTCACCCGCCATATTCTCCAGACCTTTCACCAACCGACTATCACCTTTTCAAACATTTTCAGAACTTCCTTGCTGGAAAATACTTCATCAATCAGGACCAGGCAAAAAAGCCTTCGTGGATTTCGTGGATTCTCGACCACCCAGTTTTTTCTTTGATGGGATTTATCGACTGGTGTCACATTGGCAAAAGTGTGCTGATTCGAACGGTGCTTATTTCGATTAAATCCGATGAGTATTAAGAAAGTTATGATCGTTTAAAGTGAAACACTCAAAACGCTGAGAACTTTCCGGACAACCTACATAATATAACGTGGCTTGATTGACAAGAGTCTACAGTTTGCATCACCCCACCCCTCTATGATGACTTGTGCCCATCCCAGCACAGGAAAAGGTAGCGGCAAAGCAAAAAGTAAAAAAAAAGGGAGAGGAGGCAACAGCATGTAAGTGCATCACAGAGCACGGGTGTATATGTGCGGATGGAAACGTAGTGTCTTCCGAAGTGTCTCCTTACGTTCCTCACACAGCAAGTGGTGTTACTGCATAGCCTTACAAGCAAGTGGTTGCGATTGTGGACCTTGTTCACTTTCAGTTGGGATGCATTGTGTCTCTCAGGGTAATCGCGGATATGTCGTCAGCGATGAGATGCAGTTCAGCTCGGTGGGGGCATTTTGCTGGTTCCGATCGAACAATCGAACACTGGCAAAGCCTTCATTGGAGACTGCAAACACTTGTAAGACTGTAACAGCATTAGCTCTTTTGCACCTGAAAGAATCCACACGTCCCACCAAGAGGATAGCAAAAGAAGCTAGCAATGCAAAATGCCCCTCTTGAGGATGGTTTACTATTTGAAGGAGGTCTAAAATGTAATAATCAAGCGAACAGACCAGTTGTTGTGCAATGGCAACGTGCAATGGCACGTGCTAGCGCTCCATGTTTACGCTCTGGACGAACCGAGGGGCGAAAGTCTGCAATGATCAAACAACAACCTTCAAAAACCATTGCAAACACTCCGTGGGAATGGCGCCGTATATTGATTGCAGGCCATGTCCTGTCGTTGCGAGGAAGTTGCAGAACCCCCCCCCCCTCCAAAATTCCTTTCACTAGTACAATCCCTCCCCTTGCTAGGTTTTTCCGGCTTTCTAGCGCTTGTCCCGTATTTTTTTCCGAAAATTCTTCACTGACTGCTGTCGAACGGGATGGTGTGGGGGGGGAGGGGTGAATGACCTCGAATGGGAAAAAGCAAGAAAAGTCAACAACCGACGACATTTTCACAAAGGCAAACCCTCTCAATCGAGCGACCAAATACGACCCCCATGCGTGGGGATCCTCCCTGATTGACCGTCAGCCAGGAATACAATGTGGGGGTTTTCGTCGCCTCCAAAATTGAAGTCTATAGATGGCATGCGAGCATTTTTTTCGTGTCCACCAAAGGTGCTGCAATAGTGAACTAGCCGCCACGCGTCTGCACGCTCAAGTTTTACGTGTTGCGTTCATAACTCTGCTCTTATAGTAATGCCTATTCGAAACAGCATATAGTCAATGAAACCCCCACTGGAAGAGAACTGAAGAAGCTAAAGGTATACCCATAATTGCTTATGTTTTTTCTACAGGATTTTGGCTTTATGATAACCTTCGTCGCATTTTGTGTGTTTTCGAGTGCGGTTTATTTCCATGCTTTGGACAAGGGTAAGATGTAAGTCAGTCGTCGAATTTCCTTCAGCCGTACTAAGAGAGGACGACCTCGGACGACGCCTGCCGACGCGCTGTACGCGGCGACGAAGTCCTGAACCAGGACATCGTTGTTGGGGAATCCCCAATAGGGGGTCGTATTTGGCCGCCAAGAGAGGGGGGTCGTATTTGGGCTAGGAAAATTTATTTTGATAGTTGATTTTTCTCGCTTCGCGGACTTGTAAGGGGGGTCGATTGTCTGGGTAAGCTCTTTGCGTCCTCGGCCGTTGGTAGGAGTGGTATTTTGGTGATGTTCCTGTTTCATGCGTTTACTATATGCCCCATCCCTCCCCCTCTCGATCGACAGCAAAATTTTTGGGGAAAAGTATGGGACTTTTCGGGAAATTTTGGAAAAAAGGTGGGGCAGAAAATTGGGGAAATTTGAAATTGGTAGAGGGGTGGGTGTATTGTTTCGCTCGCGGGATTTTTCTAGCTTCATGTGCTATTTACCTCCCCTGCATCGATGGTCGAATTCGATGAGGAGGAACAGGGGCCAGGGGGTGTCAGAGTTTGACTAAATCCCACATGTGTGTTAGCTAATTGGTAGAAGGGGACGAAGAGCACGCGACGGATCCGCTTAGAGGCGTGACCGTTCAGACCTTACTTACTTGAAGTTAAGCTTGAGAAGCGGTTTATCTCACCAGGGAAGGTCAACAGGTCGCCATGGCCATCCAGGATGGGATGCCATATTGCGCGTGGTCTTGAGACAGTCTGAGCTCATAACTGCCTTAAATTTGCTGAAACGAGTCTCGCAGGAGGAGTTAGGGAGGATGCGGTCGTTTTTGTGGTAGATCAAGTTAGGTCGATAACACAAGTGCTGGGGGGGTGGTGTTGGATAGGTATGATTGGTCGCATAGATGAGAGGTCGCGGCTTCGAGTGCCTTGACAAGCCGAGTTTTTGCTATTGTCTGGAAACTCCTGTGGGTCAGCATTCACTTTATTTCGTTGTTTTGTCACGCTCTCATTCGCAGCAGGAAAAGAGTCGAATGACGCCACGTTTTCAGTAGTGCTTCTCTTTCAACACTTTTATTATAAAAGTACCGATTTACGAATGTTACATGAATGAGTCAATGAGCGACTACATAGAGTGAACCTGGAAAGAATCCAGAAAACGAATCTAACGGGACAGGGTTGTGCTCGAGTGAACTTGTCCAATCCCTTTGTCCCAATCCCAACAAGCCCAATCCAACCCCAACCCCTGTCCAATACTGCTTCCCTTCTGAACTGATGGGACACTGTGACTAGGTGAGTTTTACTTCATTCGCTGTGCACACTGTGAAAAACTTTTTTGCTTCGACCATTTCGTAAAGGAACACCACAGGTGCTCTTGAACATCCGTGTTGACTCATTCATGTAACATTCGTAAATCGGTACTTTTATAATAAAAGTGTTGAAAGAGAAGCACCACTGGAAACGTAGCGTCATTCCTGCTGCGAATGAGACCAAGCGTGACAAGAGCA